CATTGGCAGCGACGTGATAGCGCAGTCGGCAGTCATGGTCATTGCGGGCTAGAGTCATGGTCTTATAAGCTCTCTGGCGAACCTAATTCGTGCTTCACACCAAGCTAGGGATTCTGTACGTACGCAGACGTGTATTCGAGGGTGGCAGTGAGAGCCATAGTCGAAGGGCCTGCGACCAGCTGAACAGGGTTGCTGATGCCGCATTCGGTCTGGGGCACTTGAGAGTGGCAGGCGAGAGCAAAAGTCGTCTCGTCGGCGCCTACATCGACAACAGAGGCCACGACGAAGTTAGGGGCAAAGAGAGGAATAAAAAGCGAGACCACGGCTTCCTCAGCGGCGGCTACGCCGAAAACCGCCAGGAGCGCGAACTTGGAAGAGTTGTGGAACATTTCAACGAGTGTGGTGGGCGAGCAAAAAAGCCAGGGGCGAGCAGGTGAAGGAAAGGAGCAAAATGTCAGAAACAGCAAGAGAGCGCGATCTTGCGATGATGGTGTTCTTCTACAAGAAATTCAGAGCCGAATTGGTGCCGGCAATCAAACCCGAAGGATCGAGTGAAACCCCCTGCCTGCGTCACAAAAGAGATGAGATGTCGCTAGTGGTGGAAAGAAGTTGATGGGGACGCGCCGAAGACTTGTGGCAGCTCATCAAGAAAGTGCGAGAGCACGAGAGAGTGCGTGCCAGCTCGGCGAAGATAGCATCAAGATGGCTTTATGTGGCTGAATTGGCAGGACGTGGTGTTTTGAAGCCTCAAGATCTGGTGCCTCCAGATCCGATGCATGACTTTCGAGGATCTGAGAAAAAGCGTACAAAACAAAGTGGATGGGATGTGGCGCGGGGGGGGGGGGAGGGGACTGGGTTCCTGAACCCTGGAAATACCGTACAGTAGTACAGTGATGGGAAAAGGAGTGAAAGCTCGGGCCGGCGCTCAGCTCATTACCTTAGTCTGCCAGAATGTCTTGGTGGCTTCTGGCCTGCCCGGCTGAGGAAATATGAGGTGATGCCGAGCATGTAGGTGCCCTCGTGTGAATGAACTGCTGGCGCCACTCGATGGTAAGAGAGGGCGGGACTGGGACGCCCCGAAGTGTCCGAAACAAAACCCAGGGCTATGGCCTGCAGTCTGTATCCCGCCATTTAGTCGATTAGTCTTGTTGGGGAACGAGAGAAAGTGCCTCGAGGGCAAGCTATAACAGTTGCCGTCTGAGGGCATCGTGAGATGAGCAAATGGCAGAAAAGGCGGGATGGGGATGAGTAGGGAGTACTCCAGCAAAGCAGCTGGGTCAGGAACCAGAAGAACGGCAGCAACGACCAGTTCAAGGCGACAGGTCAGAACAGTGAGGTGGATCAGGCAAGTGCCGCTTTGGGTGCGGAGCTCCTACCACCCGGAACTTGCCAGGGGAGCCAATGGTGAGCTCGGACTAGGAGATGATGGGGACGGGGTGCAGCAGCGCCAGTGAGCAGGACCTTCCTGTTCCACGTCGTCGTTCTGGTGGTGCTTGACATTTGAAAGTCTTGGCTCTCTTCCTTTTTCCCTCTAAAACATGAGTTCGGTTTCTTGGCGGCCTGCTAGGCATTGGTCACAACGTCGCCAGCGCGCTTGGCGTTTGCACTTGGCAGCTCATCATGCGCCAGGTGCTTCAGATCGCCTGCGCTGTGGCCCTTTTGCCTTTCGCCTTTTGCTTTTCTCCTCCATCCTCTCGCCTCTGCTGTCTGCTTTCGCCCGCATGTCTGGGCTTGGCTCACGCGTCTCCTTGGCTGCGTCTTGGCTTCACTTAACTTTGTAACTGCAAACGACGGCAAATACGGCAATCCCTCAGCGGAAACGATAGCGAGTCGCCCGCCCAGCGCCCAGAGTCCGGCGCCCAGCACTGCCCAGCGAGTGCCCAGCGGCCCTAGACCGTTCACGAGCATCGCCCCCCTCCTTTCCCCTTCGACGCCCTTGCACTGTCCAGAGGTCCCCGTCACCACTGCCAATGGCTTTGTACCGCGCATGGTGTTTCATTCTTCAATGCTGAGACCCTCAGCTGCCCATGCCTTTCCTCAAGAAATTACATTCATATTTTATCTGTCTCTTCCTCTCCCGGCACATCTGCCGGTACATCTGGTTTTGAGAGGCCCCGATTCTATTTCCGATAGCCCACCAACCCCCAACACGCCCCCTCGAACTACCGCCACGTCTTCTCAACCGACGACCAATTCCCGCCAGCCGACTCGTTCTCTGTTCTGCAGCGCGATTTGAGAGAACAATACTCGGATAGACGTTTCCAGCCCTACGTCACAATATCTACTTCCTAGCTTTCGATCGGTGCAGGCTGTTGGCGGCGAGAAGATAGCTCGTCGCCGTCGCTTCTTTGCGCGACTGGACACCTCCCTCTCGACGACAGTGCAGCCACAAAGCCCCAGGAACCGCCAACATGCAACGCCTTTCGCCCTTTGTCGCCCTGCTTTCCACATATCTCCTCGCCATTGGGGCCCATGCCAAGGATCAGGGAACCGTTCCCATCTTCCTACCATACTATGATGCCAAATCATGGTCTCTTGTACGGGGCAGCGTCATCACAAGTGTACGTTCGCCCTGACTATTATCCTCTCTGAACATCGACTTACCACATCTGCGAGCAGAAACCCGACGAAACTACGTATACAATCTTCTGTGCGCCGCAGACCACGCCCAGCTGCGATCTGGCTCTCGAACTTCCATTCATATTTGCCGAAGGCGACAACACCCTCCGCTTCGAGGGCACACTCACTTCTACCTAGTACGCCCTATCTCTCATGAGCCTGCCGCTTCATTCGACAGAAGCCCTTCTAACATGTCACAGTACTGCGAATCTTGAATGTAAATTAGGCGGCACCACAGCGGCGACATGCTCGGCGTACTCGAGCTTGAAGTCTGGCTTTGTTGCCGGTCTTTACACTGGCCCGACGGAAATCAGCTGGACATCAACACTCAGTGGCTCAGAGGTTCAATGGGGCACCCTAACCCTCGCCGACCAGCCTTCGAAAACGGGCACTCCTGATGATGTCTCCGGCACCGCCCAGGCCACCGGAGACCCCAATTTCACTGAAGATTTCCTCTTCGACGGCACGTTACCCACGAGCTCGCTGCCTGTCGAGACAGGGCTCAGCAGCGGGGCGCGACTTGAAAGCACTTGGCTGTGGGCTGGTTCATTCGGCTGCATGGTCCTGACAGCCCTTCTTGTATAGCCTGAACAGACTATATAAGGTGGATAGAGAAAAGCACCAACGCATCCGGCGCATGGCCAAGACGTGGGCAGGATGCGACGCTTACCAAGGACCGACTTGACGACGTAGTCACGTAATGAAGTTTGGCAAAAAGGCTCACGCCAGCGTTGCGTACCGGATTGGAGTAGGGCGGTTTTTTTGCTTTACCGTGGCAGAGCCATGCCATTGACAGCTTCAGAATGCTGTCTTACGATATAGTCACTCCCTTTTCTGGAGTTATACCCCCCATTAGCGTTGAATTACAAAGAAACGGGCTGAAGATCCCTTCCAATTTCACGATGACACTTGGCTACCTCGCGCCTCATATATCGTGTGTCAATAATCTTGCAGATCAGCATCTTCTTAGGCAGCGCTTCTGATTGTGTAACATCGGGGCCTAAACTCTCAGGCTCATCATGACCACACGATGATCAGCGCCGAGCCTCCCACGTTCCCCAGCCACAGAGGGACGACGCAGTCAGAGGCATACTTAGCGTCCGTCGCACCCGCATTTACAAACAGTACGCTCCCCGTTCTAGCCGCGGGAAACCTCAAGAGAGGCTCTTTTTTCAAGCTAGCAGAGACGTAAGTGTCAATCGCTGTAATAGTACCTTGCGTGAAAAGAATGGCGATCCTTGGCCCAGTGGTGCGGAGAGCTGGTGGGGTTCGCACGGGTTGTGCCGCATCTGCGGCGCATCGGCCGCAGGGGTTTGCAGTGCGTTTTAGTGGCCGGTGCGTGTTGGAGATTAAGTAAGCTGGCGAGGTTATAGAGACTTCATGCCTCACAGTCTAACGCCAGTGGTAGAGATGCCGCCATCGCAGGATGCCTTCGCTTCCCGTGCCACGCTCTTTCGATCGTTGTCTAGCCACTGGTTATGCGGCAAGATTGTTGCTGAATGGCCGATGTACTCACCCCTCGCTACGAATGTTTCATCCATTGGGATTCTCCGTACAGGATGCTTAAAGCATGACACCTTCAATTGATCTCGGTGAAATACTCATGCCAAAGAAACGATGTTGTCTCATAAAGTAAACAGCAAGCTCCCGGGTGCAGCAGGCCCTATGCCAAGATACAGCAAGACCCAGCGAGGGTAGCGGCGCAGACACGAATCCAGCTTGATAAAGCAAGTCCACCTATCGTGGTTCTGCCTTCACTCGTCGCATCATGATGGCCCCCTTCATGGTGCACATCTACCTCTTCTTCTGTCAATCTTCGGCGTTAGTCATCCTGGTGAAAATGGATAATCAAGCAAAAGCTCATGATAAGTTGCATTCTGGGCTCTTGGAGGCAAGTATCTCACCAGGGCCGAAAACACTTTGGTTCGTCGGGACCGTCGGTGCGATTTTTCTGCCGTTCCAGCCCGCGTGCCGTGCAGGGTCTATCTCGCCATCACTGAGAGGTGACCGTGATTCTCCAATGAGCAGTCCCTGTATAGTCTCGAGAGCGCACATTTGCTGGCCCAAACCCACACGGCCATCAAACCCGCCTATATTCCACTTCTGGCCACAGGTGACACTGTTCTCGCCACCAGAACAAGCTTGCGCCGCGGCGACTGCTGAAGGTTCGAGCAGACTTTTGACCTGGGGCAAAAGGGAAGGAAGGTGATACGTAGATTGCCACATGAAGCGAGCGAGGTATCCCTTGAGGAACTTCAAACTTCAATCAGCACGACCACTGCCACGATGTATCGACAGGCACATACCTTCATGTCGTTGTTGCAGCTGTAATTTGGCTCACAAGCTGGTTCGTAGAGGATTTTGTTGTCAAAGAAGTATGCCGCAGCCTCCAGCAACTTGTGAGCACGATCGGCCCAGTGCTGCTCGCTGGTGTACTCAGCCATGACTGCGGCTCCGTGTAAGAATATACCGGTCGTATAGGTGAATGCCACATAGTTAACCTCTCGGCAGTCGTCACTGCCATGGGCACCGTCGTACACCGTGTATCTGTCTCCGATCAGACCTATCTCGATACACCAGTCCCATACCTTGGCAGCCCAGTCTGCGTAACCTTGCTGGCCTGTTGCGCGTGCAATGCGAGCGACTAGCTGGAAGAGGCCTCCATTGGTGACGGAATTCTTGTAATTGATACCGTTTGGGTTCGAAGCAAAAACCTGCCAATACACGCCGCCCCTGCAGGTTGTGGTGTCCCAGCGGGAAGACAGGGCATTGAAGATATTGAGAGCCATGGTCAGCCAGGATGGTACGCCGATATCAGGCTGCGGGAAATTACGCTCGGCAGCAGCCATCACGGCGAACCCCCAAAAGCCAAGATCATCATTACCAAGTTCGTCAAAATGTTCGGGCGGATTGTAGTCGTGGTGTGGACCGGTGTTGACAGGAGCAGTCAGGGCTTGCATGACGACATCATTGTAGCTAGAATCACCAGTAAAGTGGTAATAATCCAACATGGCTCCCCATAGTGCTCCAGCTTGCCACCAGTAGTAAGGGTCAGGAAGATCACCTACCATCTACGGGCATGTCAGCTGAGTTTTTGCTGAGGTGATGGCAGGGGCTTGCCTCAGGCTGGCCAGAGACATTGCCATTATAATATGACATTGCGCCGTGTGCAATGGTACTGGCGACATTGCGGATCGAGTCTTGTATGGGTCAGGGCAGTGTTCCGAGTTCATAGACAGAGCGAGGCTTGCCTGAGCTCGAGCTGTCCAACGACATGGCCCAAACAACGCCCGGTACGGCCATGCCTATGATCCTACAGATGAGACGCATGTTCGACAAATCCTTGAACGTTTGGAACTATGGGGCCTTTGATGTTGGTCAACAATGGTGCAACAGGCCTAGGTTGCAAGGTGTGACTTCAAAGGCCAGGCAAAACAACCAACCGGTAGCTACAAGGATTTTAATCGTGCCGATCACAAGAGAAGCAGCTGCGGCCATATGAAAGGACAAACTTTGCAGCGCAGGTGCAATGACGATGAGCGCCTTCTTGAAGCTATCTACCTGACTATACACCGAGGGCACCTTCCTGGTATTCGCAATTTCCAGCACCACGGCCCCTATCAGAGCCGGCAGTGTTGATGGGTAAGTTCAAGGTCCCGGCATCGACTAACACATATCTGTGGCACGAGGAATGAGAAACATGGTCTAGTGGCTCAGCCTGGGAGCTGTGTCGACGCTCTATATATGCAAAGCGCGCTCGAGAGATGCTCAGTTCTCCATATATCTCAATTTGTTGACGTCTGCCACCAAGATTCGTTTTGCTACCTATGATAGAGTCGGTTAGAATCTTTCATTAGTCATAAAACAATCGAGGCTCTAAGCGACGATACCGCTAGCCGCCGCCTCCTTCTGCTCTTCGTTCTTCTGCTCGCCAACACCGCGGACCTCAACAAGTGTGCGCTCTATGGACCCAATAAATCGCGTCACTTCCTCTTCCGTGCCGACCGTGATCCTGAGGCATCCCTGGCAGCCGTGCTCTTTCCCCCTAAATCGTACAACGACACCCTTGGTCTCAGCGAGACGTTCGTAGACTGCTAGCGCAGTCACGTTGTCCGGATTGCCAGCCGTATCTAAGATCTCGAAAAGCAAGAAATTGCTCGCCTCGCCACCTCGCAGGCGACCAACTCCGTTGATCTTGGGAAGCTCAGCCAGCAGGCGGTCTCTCTGGGCACAGATTCTGGTTCTGTTGGCCCGCATCACTTGCAAACCCTTCTCAGAGGCAGCATACGAGGCCAGCGCACTCGTCGGGCTGGAGATATTGTAAGGGGCCTTAAGACTGTTCAATAGGCGGGCAATGGGCTCCGATGTGAAGGCAGCACCCAACCGGATGCCAGCCATGCCAAAGGCCTTGGACAGCGTCTGCATGACGACAAGGTTGGGCCACTCGGTGACCCATTCAGCAAGCGAGCTGCCTTCGGGAGCGAAGTCGATGTAGGCCTCGTCCAGGACCACGACCCCATTCCATGTAGGGTGCTCGAGAATCTTTTGAACGTCTTCTTTAGCTAGCAGGCTGCCGGTGGGGTTCCCGGGGCTGCAAAGATAGGCGAGCTTGACATCCTTTTCCCTGCTCAAAGTATCGCATATGCCTTGGGTATCGAGGCCGAATTCGGGAGCCGGCTGGAGTGGGACTTTAACGAGGCCGACGTCGTTAACCTGCGCAGAGACGGAGTACATGCCGTAGGTAGGCGGGCACACGAGGATGCGGTCTTTGGCAGGGATGCAGAAGCATCGAAGGAGAGCGTCGATAGCTTCATCGCTGCCAACCCCGACAAAGAGATTTTCGGGCGTCAGGTTCTTGGAAGTGTGTACGTGAGTATTGCGAAGATTGCACAGAAGCTGCTTGAGCTCTGCCTGGTGAGGGTCAGGGTACCGGTGGAGGCCGAGGAAGTCAATGTCAACAGCGCCCTTGGGAACATCTGACTGGAGAGAAGGACCAAATGCGTTCTCATTGGCATCTAGTAGGATATTCTTGCCGTCATCCTTGTAGTCACTAAGGGCATGTTAGCCGAAGACCTCGTACATTGCGGGGGCCTAAGAGCTGCTGTAAGTTGAGTGACTTACTCTCTGGCACAACGGTATGGCTGCAGGGCCAGGATATTAGGCCTGGCACATTTTTCCAGGTTGAAAGGCGACATGATGTGAGACGCCAGAGAAAAGTCAGATGAGTACCGGAGTTCAATTGACACCTTTCGAGTCCGACGAATAGATCGGTACGTCCTTCAGGTCGTCTTATATCTCTCTCTTGAGGTCGCAAAAGAGTCATCAACTCAGCATCTGAGTAGCATCGAGTCTGAGTCAAATGGAAGTCCCAGTCATCCAGGTTGTGGTACGTACCGACTCCTCCCTCAGGCGTGCACGGATTATTGGCGACCCTAGCGCCGATGTCGCTCCACCTAGCACTTGCTCCTCTCTTTTCACGCCATGGAGCCATGACCATGAAACAATCTGATATGACCGTCCTGTCAATCGAACTATCTATCGCGCATTGCACGTAACGATGTATCGCACTGCGGCTGGAGATAGCGCCGGAATTTCTTTTTCAGCACCTTGACTTGAACATCGCAAGGATCATGAACCGAATGTGTTTCCTCCAACAAAGTACAAATCTGCCTGCTGCTCGGAAACCAGGATAAAGCAGCATTCAGGCTGATTAGGTACACAACGGCATCTGCATCCCTGTCTGTTTTCGTCAAGCCTAGCACCTTGTCGATGATGTGCGAGACAAGAAAGAACATTGAGAACGCCTCGTCTGGCCAGTAACTCGGACCTTCCGGATTTTCAAGCACTGCTGTAAGGATCTATTCAGCATACCACCCACCACACGTATTGTGTGAGCACATCGTTGGGGTGGCTGCTTTTGATCGAAGGCGGGTGTCACGGCATCTTCATCTGTAGAGCCCAGAAGTGCCGGGGCTAGTGGCCTCCGGAGGCACGGAGACGGCGACGGCTTCCTGGTTCCGCCCTCGCCTGACCCCTCTGTTCGGATGAATGGACAAATTCCCCCTCACGGGATCGACAAGCGTCAAGCATGATGCCCATGGCAAGAATCCAAGGCCCGTTCTTTTTCGCAGGCTCAAGTACATAACCGTCGGTGCTGGTCGCCGTGGACAAGGATGAGGCCTTCTTAACGGACCATCCCGCTTTTCGTCTCAAACGATCCTGACTGCCCACCATGCACTCTCTCTCCGTGCTCGCTCTCGCCACTGTTGCTGCTGCGGCGTCTTCGTGCGGCCTGCGCAAGTTCGAAAATCTGGTAACCTTCGGTGACAGTTGGACAGACACTGGTCGTTTGGGATACTTCATCAATAACGATGGCAAGGCCCCGCCGGCCGGCGAGTCTCTCCCCGAAAGTAGCAAGACCGCAACGGGCGGGCTGGCTTGGGGCCAATTCGTCGCCAACGAGACTGGCGCGAAATACTTCAATTACGCCGTCAGCGGCGCATGCAGTTCGGACGAGATCATCAAGCGCCAATTCGATCTGATCAAGCGGCCATTCCCGTCGGTCCTGGACTACGAGGTCCCGGCATTCGAGGCAGACATCGCTTCGGGCAAGTTGTACGACAACCGCAAGGCCGATAACACGCTTTACGCGCTGTGGATCGGAACCAACGACCTGGGTTACGGTGCGTTCCTCAGCGATACGCAAGCCGCTGGAACGACCATCTCGACCTTCGTTGAGAGCATCTGGACGATTTTTGACCGGCTCTACAAGACGGGCGGCCGCCACTTTGTGCTCTTCAACGAGGCACCGCTCGAGATCTCGCCTCTCTATGCGCCTTCGGACCAGGGTGGCTTCCAGGATAGCAACTTCTGGACGAACAAGACGGCGTATAACACGACGGCCTACTCGTTCAAGATGCTTCAGTACACGACAAACGTCAACACCCTATTCGACTACGGCGTGCCTTTCAAGCTTCTGGTGGAGAAGCGATGGCCTGGCGCGACCTTTGGTATTTACGATGTCCACAGCCTGATGCGCGACATTCATGCAGAGCCCGAAAAGTACCTGACGGCTCCGGCCAACGTGCAAGGGGTGTACCATGAGTGCAACCCGGCCACGGGTCAGTGCGTTGATTCGTCGAGCCCGCTGTCGAGCTTCATGTGGTACGATGAGCTGCACCATTCGGAGCGAACTGGTAAGTTTAGGACTCGGTGACTGTGCTTGTGGGACGTGGCGAGTGTTAACAGAGTTTGTGATAGCTGAAGTCATCGCGAAGCATTTCGTCGACGTTGTGCATGGAAAGTCGACATACGGGACCTACTACGGTTCAGCCTCGAGGGGTGGAAACTGACGTACCTGGACATGGCTCTGTTGACAGACACGTACCATGTATCTACTATTGCAATGTTCATCTTGGCGCTTGTTCTTCACGTAGATCTATCCACATTGGGGACCCGAGAGACTGATCGAGAAGTGCCATCATGCTGCCAGAGAGCCATTGAACTGCTCGGTGCGCCATGTAGAAAGAACCATCTGCTTGGATGGCTCTCGCACCGCGGCGACTACTCGCCGGCCTGCCAGTGAAGCGACGATGGATGGACCTGCATCGCCGTGGCGCCTCTCCACCCGTCGCGACTTCCACCCCTTCATACCTACCTACTACCTACATGTCGGTAGCTTTTGATGAAGGTGGATTAGATAGCCAGGCAATCCTCCCGTCTCCCAAGGTACCTACCTACCTAGGGGCCTAAGGTACTTGTAGGTAGGTAGATACGCATCTTGTCGACTACAGGCAGGTTATCATTCTCATCAGGGAGGGCAGAGAGCCGAGGCCAGACACCTTGGCTGCAGGCACCCCCTGCCGGGCCCCTAGCACAGACCCCCGCTCAGTGGGTGAAGCCTTCCCACAAATGGTTAGCTCTCAGATTCCACGCAAACGTGGCTCGGCGGCCTGGGCGAAGCGCAAACACTGGCATGCCCGCAGAAATCTTCTTTCTCCCCTCTCATGCTGGTCTCTTTTTGCCTGCTCGGTTTGATGACACGACACACGCACACCGCACACCGTACACACACACACACACACTTTTCAACTCCCGGCCTTTCCGCCAGCCCGCCCAGGCACAGCGCAATTGAACAGACGCCGTCCCTCGCACTACGTCGGAGCCGTTCCCACACGGACGCAAGGCTCTACTCTGCCGGAGCCCGGCCCACGTCCGAACAGTAGTCCTGGCCATCTGGTTGCCTCCCTCCCTCACTGCCTTTGCCTCCTCACACGATCCAACGGAGAATCCCTGGTTGGCCCGCTCTCCGAAACATCGATAGAGTCCCTGACTCTCCATTCTATTGTCGTTTCTAGTCTCTGATTCGCCTCCCCACGTCGTTCTCGTTCTTCTCCCTCGCCCGAGCTTGAGCTTTGGCTTTGGCTTTGGCTTTGGCTTCGGCTTCACACCTCCCTTTGTCACCCACGCCCGCCTCCTTCACGAGACGGCGAGACAACCCCAAGCAC